TATTCTGTGAAAGATATTATTGTGGACAAATTTTACAGCTTTTGAATAAAATTCCATTCACTCAAAGAATCTAAATAATTTTATTCTTCTATTTAAAACATTTTTTCACAATGTATGACTTTTATTGATATTGAAGAATATTAGGTCCTTTAAAAGAAATATTTTTTAAAAAAACCTTGATATCTTTGCCCTAGGGATTGTTCCCTGGGTGCATAGCAGAATCCATGACACATGTACATATGGAGCTACCGTGAGGTGACCTGAGCCCTGAGCCTGAATAGATCTGTGGTGAGCACAGATGCTGCATTTTTTATAACCTTTGATATATCATCAGTGCTTAGACCGACTGTCTTACCTTAGTAAGCACACCATGTTCAATTTTAATATTACTTTGGCAAATTTGAATTCACTTGATTTCTCGGTTTTCTGTTCAAATACATTTCTATAATGTAGCTTCTGTATCTAATCTTTTTAAACAGTGAAGTATCATTTCATAATAGTATTTCATATCTGTGAAATGTGTGATCACTTACGGGATGGAATATCTTGACTGGAAATAGGTAGCTCAAAGATTTCAACCCCAGTTTAGCTGTGGCCACACCTTTTGTTTTGCCCTTTTCTATTCTTACCTTTTTCTTCACAGTTTTCTGCAATCAGTGGGCCTCTTTGTGACAAGCTCTAGTTAAAGTACATATTTGCAGCCAATTCCCATTTTCTTTAGGGACTATGTGCTTCTCTAAATTGTGTGCCTAAAAATGTGCTGGGGATCACATATACTTATTATGGTATTTTAATTAGATTTTCTAATATCACATGTTTGGGGAAAATGGCTACTTTCTTGTTCACTGCTATCAGTTTGGAATTACTGTTTTATCATTTTATTATATGCCTTCTCACTCAGGTGACATAAAAATTATATTACATTAATTTTATTTATGAGATACCCTTGCTCATCACTGTTGTAGTCACCACCAAAGTAATGTGTATATTATTTGATTGTTTTTAGGTTGTGGCTTATCMTCAGGGAAACTCTTTTTCAACCATCAGTCAGTACTTGCTGTTGCCAATTAGTCCTTCTTTTTAAGAGTAGACTTTGAGTTGTATAGTAAGAAATGGCACAATTCAGATAACAAAAACAATCCACTTACCAGAGTGGCAGCCAGTCTTCTATGTGAATTAATCTGTGAGCATTCATCATAGCAGGTTCTTTGTCATTCTGGCAGTTGACACAGAGCAAAGTGAAGCACGGCATCAATAAAGGGACTAAAAGAAGTCTGTACATTATTTTTATTAGAAATACGCAATTACCTGCACACAGGAAATCTCAAATGCCACCATTACCTTGCTTTTGTGATCTCACACAGAGTATGATCTGACCTATACTTGGTCTTTGAAAGCAGCTAGTCCATTACTGGAAAGTAAAGAATAGGCATTAATGTAGCAAGAACCTTGTTCCACAATTAACAATAGTAAATTGATKTTGATGGCTTTCTTGTATATATAGTGCCCTCCACAATTCCATTGTGTGGTGAACAAATATTTATAGATGTCACTGGTTTTTAATAGAGCTCCTTGTACAATCTAGCTTAAAAAGGGAGAAAAGATGGAAGGCAGGCAGGAAAGCAAGCGGGAAGGAGAGCAGGCAGGAAGGTGAGAAGGAAGGAAGACAGGAAGGCTGTTCAGCCCACACACAGGCCCCTYCCTCACACCACACATGTTCCCTTACCACCTCTCTATCTTATTTAGCTATCACTCTGAGTAGTTATGAGTGATAATAAATTAGCAACTGTGAATTTGGAATTTTATGGAAAATGTTTTTTCTTTTATGTTATAATGAATTTAGGTTCAGCAGTTGCATGATTTCTGAGGCTAGCCTTTTCATACTTCAACTGGAATAAGTCAACATTGAGTACTCCATAGGGAGGAATGAAGGAATTTTGGTTTGTGTAGAAGGGGAAAGGGGAGGGGTACGGTTGTGGGGATGGAAAGGACAGTAGAAAGAGACAGATGTTAGTACAGTAAAAACATGTATGATTACACAAGTGGAGTGACTCTGAACCATGTACAGCCAGAGGAAGGAGAAGTTGTGCTCCGTTTGTGTACTATATGTCAAAAGGCATTGTACTGTAACATTAATTAATTAATTTTAAAAAATATTGTATACTTTTATCATTTGGAAATCTCAAACCCACTGGGCAATTTGTTGCCTCTTTGAGTTCTGTGATTTCCTTACACTGGGTCATCACAGGTTTGCCTCAAATTTTTAGAAAGGTTTTCTGCCTTCATTCTTCATCACTTGTATCTTCAACAGTCTTCAACTCCTGGGGCCTTACTCCCAAACATAATCTTTACCAATATCCTCCTTTGCTGAACTTATTATTGTCTTAAATCTCTCTAGATCTAGAATGTGTAGTCTCCCTAACTTGGTATTTTTTCAAACTGTGAACCACAGATCGCATTCTCCAAA